CATGCCGCGATAATATGACTGAGCCCGCTGATACACGAGGGAGAGCAGCGGGTGAGTAGCCTCTGTGACCCCCCCTTTGAAAAATCCTGGCTACGCCCCTGATGACTAACCAGCTGTAAGGGTCTCATTACTAACAGCTTACCGGTGATACAACACTTTAAAGTTTTCAGGAAGCACTCCTTCCTAAGATTCTTCTTTGTACCCGCTGGGCAGGCAGCCGCTTCATTATGGCAAGCTTCATTTGTTCCCAAGCATGTTGCTCCTGAAAAGAAATTATTCTGTGATAAGTTTACCTCGACAGTATTCGCCTGGGTAATACCCGGCTAAAAAGATACCTTGCTAGGACAGGTAGGCAAAAAGAGCTATGATAATTTTAATTACGTTAAAGGAGTTGCGATTGATCCTCTTCCCAAAATTACGCTCTTATTTGGAACCAAGATGCCCGCCAGTTGCTTCAAGCCTCTTTCTGAACGATGTTACGGAGAAATGGAAGACAACAAACAATCCACTTTAATAGGAATTTAAGGTGGTTTTCTTGGCAGCCAATTAAAATACTTCATATGGAAAAAAAATCTTTGTAAGTGCGCCCTACTGCTGGCGTCATAACGTATTTAGCCTACTTCGCAGCCGTTTTGTCTCGTCAAAAACGATTTTGTAGGAGACTATAACTTTTTGGGAAAAAGTAATCTTGAATTTTTCTTTTTCTTTTTGGCATCTCGAAGAGGGCTGCTCAGTTTGACTTTTAACAAGTCAAAGGAATTAATCAGTTGAATAATAAGCTTGAGTTGGGTACTGGTGGCTTTTTCGAACTTTTGGCTGAACAACTTTTTTCATACTTAATTACTTACTGGGGAACTCGATCCACGTATAAGCCGGTAAATAATTGTTATAATAAAACGTTAAATACTTGTCGTCCCACGCGGGCTTCACACCAATCTGGAACAAAGCAGACTATAAGTGAATACGTGTAACTAACCAACTTTAGAAGCTTAATTTTTAAACTGTACTTCATTGCAGGTGAGCGTCAGCGAGAAAACACAGTATCATTTTATATATAGAGAAAAAAATATCCAGAATCATTTTTCGCATGTACGATCGTAAGCACGCGCAGTTGTTTTGTTGTTATCCGAGATACACGCATTCTCGTCCCCAGAGCTACTCGGCTTAATTTGTAACGGACGGCACGTTTCAAGAACACGCACCCCCCGGAACCTGCATTAAACATGTCAATCAGTATCAGTTGGCCATTTCCCAAGGGTGACCATGGTTTGAATGTAATCACTTACGGAATCAAAGCCCCATGCAGCAGACACGCCATTAGATACCGTGTCATCACGCATAACTTCAAATCCGAGCACTGTTCCAACATCTTCGGCATAGACTTTAAAGTCGTCTACACTACAGGGAAATTTGAAAAGAATTGAAATTTACAAATTTATCAATTTAAACCAAGATATCGTAAGGTTATTATTAGCCTGGCTTCCCTGTCTGAAATGTCGGCCGTCCACAGTCCCCTCCCCCCCTGTCTCTATTCCCGCGCCCCCGCGGGGTAGGGGGTGGAGACGGCAGACATTTCCGACTAAGTTTCCATCAAATCTTCGTATTCGTTTCCATCACGGAACGGAACAATTTCCATCCATCACGGAACGGAACGACAATTGAAAAGTTGCGAGATGATCATATGAAAACTAGTCTGGACAGCGTTTAAAGACGAAGTTACAGCGACCATATTGGTTTTTCGAAACAATGAAATAGCGGCCATGTTAGTGTACAGGGCCAATCCCGTGGAAGTTGAACTCTTTTACTACGCAAGAGCGTCTTCTGTCCCTCTAAATCTGCATTGATTCTGGCCTCTTGAGAAAAATTGCTCAGTAGACTTCAGTTCAATTAATGAACGAATCAGTCAAAGAAGAAATTGTGGTTAGATTAAACTGTGGTGCTTCTTCGGTGGGATCGGGAAAAACAAAACTTTGGTATGATCAACTAAGCAGTTAACCCTAGGCCTTTAAGTCTCAACAGTGACCAACATCAATTTTCTCCTGACAATATCCATATGTTACTAAGAGAAATGATTATGAGAGGCAATAAAATGATCACTAAAGAGAAAATGCTTTGATCTGTTAACAAACTCTCTTAATTAAATTTTAGAAGGAAAAGTATGAAGATCAGTATGGAGAATTTATATGTGGATATTGGTGCTTAAAGGGTTAAAGAAAATTCAGGGTGTGTCTGCACGCACGTGCGTATCTGAAATTAAGTCAATGATTCATATTAGATAAGAAAATATGCGATCTTTTCTCATTATTTCTCTCTCATCCTATTCATAAAGGAGATTGTAATAAATACTGTGGGTATTGGTTTGCAAATTTTAAGAGATATAGCGTTTGTTTTTTTTGCTTTTAGGCAACCCTGTTCTTGTATAGGACAGTTTATGATCGATCAGCCTAGAGGAAAAATTGTCTTCTGTACTTACCCTACACTATAGCTTTTCGTGCCAACACGAAAAGCTACCAAGTGCATTATGAACACCTATCCGATATGTGACTCTCCACTTTAGTGATCTTTGGTTTTGAAATTATACCACTTTGAAACGAGAAGGGGAAGGGAGTCGAAATGTGTTTCGCAATTCTATCAGTGATTGTTCTGCTGGGCACGCGCCTGTCAGCTATCCCTGTTCCCTGTAACAGCCCTTCAAGTCTTTTTGAAAATTTACTTATTCGAGTTTCCTCCTCGTTTCGAAAGTGGTGAATTATATCATGCCTTTATTACCCGAATATATGATCATTGTGAGTTAAAGGTCACAATAACGTGCGAGACTTACCTTCCTTGTTGAAAGTCATCTTTCTCAGGGTTATCCAAGAGTATTTTCCTAGTGACGCCCTTCACGCCACGTATTATGATCCAAATATTGGCGTTACTGTCAGCTCCAACAATATCTGAAGTACCGGTTTTAATATCGTACTCTGAAGTTAGAAGAATATAGTACCATATTAACTGATGCCATCTTAAACTGTTACGAATACAAAATAAAAAAGAGTTGCTTTGTTAGTAACCTTACCACTTGCCCAAGTAATTCATTCAAAGTTCATATATAAAATTTTTTGGAAGGAGGGGGGGGGGGGGGGGGGGCAGCTCCAAAGGGTACGCCCTATAATGGCCTTTACTGGAATTCTCTGCCCGGGGGGGGGACCTTTGTCGGGTCTCAGACATACAAAGGGGAAGGGAAATTTGTCATTTTATTCCGGCTCTCCTATGACCTACAAGGGCCACAGAGGGATTGAAAGGGTGTAAAAATATATATGTTATAAATATTATATTGTATAGTGGTATGTGGGTCGAGCGATGTCGTCTGTGATATGGATTTATGAGGGGTGTTGGGGTGTTGGTTGGGTGGGGTGGGGGGGAGGGGGTGTCGGGGCAGCTCCAAAGGGTACGCCCTATAATGGCCTATACTGGAATTCTCTGCCCGAGGGGGGTACCTTTGTCAGGTCTCAGACATACGAAAGGGAAGGGAAATCTGTCATTTCATTCCGGCTCTACTATGACCTACAAGGGCTACAGAAGGATTGTACGGATGTGAAAAAGTCGAGAAAATTGTCTGGTTTTGTGATTTTTTCATATTTAAAAGGCAGCACATTTATAGCAGTTAAGAGGGACACAAAGTATCCTGTTCCAAGTGTTCAGATAGTGGAGAGCGGTGCGAAGTAAAGAAAGCGATGAAAAGTAGAGGGGGACTGGGGAGAGAGGTGGGGGTTCCCTCTCCAACCTCTCCTCCTCCCTCGCTTTTATTTTTTCGCGCTCCCTTTTACTTCACACCGCTCCCCACTATCTGAACGCCTGGAACAGGCTAGATACAAAGTTATAAACTATGTCAGTAAAATGAGTGCCATTGTCAATGAAAGGTATACGAAAGGGGTCTCTTTTCTGTCAAATATGGTATATAAAAGGGTAAAGGGTTGGACCTCGGGGCGGAGCCCCCCGGGGGGGTGGGGGTGGAGCGAGCAGGCACGGTTTTTCAGGGGCGTAGCCAGGATTTTTCCAGAGGTACCCACAAATTTCCAAAACCCCTCCCCCAAACTCCTTAAAGCCCCAAATATTTTTCTGGTTCCTTGATTAAAGGTGGGGTTTCGTTTTAAGCCTAAGCGTTTTTTACTGTATATGAAGTGATGGAAGGACGTAAGTTGTAAAATTATTGCGCCTTTTTTTGGATCATCGACTGAAAAACCTAAATCATTCATTATTGATTAAGCTTACAAGCTAGTATCTCAGACTTCTATTTACTTTTAATTACTTCTGCTTACCACGTTGTATATGAACGCCTGTATTTGACGTTTGCTTAATTTTGCCGTGTTAAGTCCTCTGCGAAGACAGGCCGAAGTGAAAACAACGATTTCACACTTTATACCACGCAAGCTTGCTATCTGGGCGTTGTTTACGATTGAGAATGAATAAATTGAGTGACACTGTGTTTTTTTCATAATCATCTTTTACATATTTTCTTTTCTATATTATTATCGTTTTTTATTTTTTACCTTCGACTTTTTCAGGAATGCGCGTGCGTACCGTGCGTACGGGTAGCCACGCCCCTTGTTCTCATTTCTGTGTGTAAAGTTGGTATATCTCTTTGGGTGTTGAGGATGGAAAGACAAAATATTACGTCGATAGCTATCAGGTAAGATTGTGCTTGTAGAAATAAAGAAGCATAAGTGGACAATTTTTATCGTATTAAATTTATTATAGCTCCTGTTTAACTGTCTGTATGAGAATGGTATCTTAGATAGGTAAGAAAAACTTGGTCCACGCCCACACTCATAGGGGCACCTACTCCCCTCTAACATGAAAGTGTCCCTCGAGAAATTTCAATTATGTACCTACCAGTTAATTTTGCATGAGTCAAAGAAATTACAAGTACCAACAGGGCGAGCAGAGAGTACTTCATGGTATAAAGACAAACTGAAAAAAATAAGACAAACAAATTTATTCTTCCGTCGTTAAGAGTTTGAAAGTTTAAGGAACAAGATATCATTAACTTCTTGCATGTTCAACAGCTTTTTACTAATTGTGAACATCTTCTGCTGATTGGCGCTGTTTTCACTGATAAAATGAAACTCCTGTCGGGATTCTTTCATCAGAAAACTTAGTCGATTCCTACTGACTTTGAATAAATTGAAGTCGGCAGGAAGTACGCCTCCAAGTATGTTCGGCAGACCGTTTATGGCACTTTGTAGCTTTAATGCTCTCGCTAAACCATAGAACACGGACCAATTGTTATTGACTTGATATTTAAGATGATGATGATGATGATGAAACTTTATTAAGGTGTCTAAAGAAGCCTCCTAGCTTAGGTTAAAAACCTATGCTAATTAGGGGACACAAAATAAACAAATATAAATTAAGGTAAAAAAATATTTACATATAAGCGCAGGTATAAAAAAAAAAATTAATGACATTAACAATATTTACAGTATGACAAATATGTCTATGAATTGCAGAGAAGACAACACTTGCACCATTATCCATTAGTGTAACTATATCTATCTAGAGGAGCATACTTATCAAGAATTGTAGACAAGGTAAAGTTGAAGGGTAGATAACAGATATGAGAGCGTTAATTTGGAAACAAAATTATAATAAAATTGTCAGTAATGACATAGAAATATAATTTAACTAGAATCCAGGCATAACTGACACACATTCCACAAGTTATATTATTGTAGTTGTTTTTGTTTTTATAATGTCCTTTTCTCCTAGCAGAAATTATTCATTTCAGTTTGACTTTGTTTAAATTTGAGTTAGGGTTCTAGTTATGGCAGTAACTGCAAAAACTTCGCCGCATTGTTTTTCGATTTTAAAATGTGAAAGATTCGAGCTAACTAAAAATGTGGAACGTATCATTTGTAGTAAGATATAAAATTCTTCCTGGCTAAGACAATTCTTTAAACAGACGGCAGGGCGTTTTATGTTTACACGGAATTATAAGTCGAATTAAGTTGAGAACTTGTCAGTCTGATCTAAGTACATGTATCGTCTTACAGTGCATGTTTGCAGTTAATACATCATTTTCTTTCTTGTTTTTGTTCATGTTCTTTTTTTAAAAGAACGCTCCCGTGATCAAACATAAAGATGTGAGGACAAGGCTCGGGTCAGGGACAATTTCATGCAAATCACTGTATTTTGTCCACCACGACCTCGTTTCCCGAGGGCGACGGTCTAATTGAATTGAAGTTCGACTATGTACTTTTTTTTTTAAATTATGTAATGCTGTATTACACGGTAGAGAAACGTATACAAAACAAAACAAAACAACAACAACAACAACAACAACAACAACAAAAACAAGAAATACAGACCTGTGTAATTACATGATGACATATAAAAAAATGGATAAAACTGACCATTACATGGAATACCTGAGGTTTAGTTTACGCTTGAAATTGCTTAGCTACTTACATAGTTTTGTTTTGTCAATAAAAAGGAAACTAGAGGAAAAGGTGGATGGTTTAACTTTTCAGGACGCGTATGCGTAACAAAGCGATTAGCTAGAGGGTAACAGGTGTAAGCCAACAAATTTAAAAAGGGAAAATTTTCTATTTGTTTAAAAAGGCGGTCAAAGAATTACAACGTGGTGGAGTTTAGCTTACCCTTAAACTGTGAACTTACCTGTTCCTGTTAGATGCTTCAAAATTAGTAGTGGAAGTTTCGGTCCTCGCAGTGCAGATATGCTCTTCACAATGAGTTTTATAACATTCAAATACATTTTATTCATAAGGTGACAAAAAAAAAATCAACTCATGATCATATTTTAAAGTTGTACGTCCAATGAAAACGAAGTGCTTAATGTCCCATGCCAGTATGTTATCGTACATAACATTTCCTTAAAAACGTTTGTCATAATCGATAATTGTATAAAGGTGGATTAAACAGAAATTGAGCAAGATTTTGTACCTAAAAAATTGTAGACTGGAATGACGTTAGTCAAGTATTAAGGCAGAATTTTGTTGTCATCTCTTAACGGTAAGTGAGCGATGCATGAAAGAAAAAGAATTCGTGGTAAATTATTTCTTGCAACGATAGCGTAACACTCTTCCGCAGATTCTTTAAATTAGCTTTGCACCTGTTGATTGTCTCAAACTTTATCGCTGGATTCTTTTTTTTCCCTTTTAACTAATATTTTAGTACAATTTTATGCTGGCAGATGTATAAACCGTGATAATGTAGTACATTAAGATCGCGTTGCTTTGGTGACCATGATAGCCAGAATATGAATATGTAGCCATGCAGAATATGTCCCGGATGAGAGAGCAGTTGTACGGGTCGGGTCTTTACTTTACTGACAACCAAGCGCGGGAAATTCTCGCGTGTTGCATGGGGATTTGATGTTGTCATGCTAAACTCGAGACAATAGAAAGTCCCAGAGCAAAATCTTAGCCAGATTTATGACATCGTTTCAATATTTACTCACTTGTTTGCCCTTAAACGCGACGTTTCGACCGCGTACTGCAGGTCCGTCATCAGGTGATAGATTCGATTTACTGAGTAGGACTATTTGTTCCACCGTGATTGTTAGTTCGTGAATGGTTGCTGGGTTTAGTACCATCAAAGTATTGTTGGCATTACCAGAGGAGGAAAATGTACCCTCAGCGGTCCGCAGTGGCACAGCCAACTTACTAACTTATACTCACTGTACGTTTCCGTGTGTTCGTTGCTTTCGAAAACCTACCGCCCTTTTGTTGCGTCTAGGGTGCAGTCCCTACCGCTTCTCTCATTGAGCCTTTTTTTCTGATCCTATCGACGCTACTTAAGGTACCCCTGCTTTCTATCCATCTATAGGACCGGTGAAAGGATTTGTAACTTGTATAGCCATTTTATAACTGACGGTCGGTATTTTTTAATGCTGGTTTATTGATGACCTTCCAAAAATTCATATATTCATCCTTAGAATAACCCTTAAGCTTGCTTGAAACCCCATGGAAATTAAACTGAATCGCTTTCCGGTGTTCTTTGTCTTATCCCTTACGGATTAAAAATTCATTACCTTGTGTTACTCAGTCTCTTTCGTTTCACTGGCAGCTGTTTCTGAAAAAAAAAGAAACAAAAAAAAAACAGAATGTGGATTAAAGTTTGGTCTTTCACCGACTGTACATGCGCATGCGTCCATAGAATATCAAACTTATATTTGCGCATATAACATTCCCAGAAAGAGTAGCAGCCGTGTTTAATGGCGGCTTATGTAACTCTTAAGTAAATCTGAAGCTTATTATGTCGCAAATCTTAAGGTATCTCCTCTCTTATGAGAATGGGTCCTTTGTTACTGATCAGACACGTTGACTGGTTAGAACTGAAATACCACGCTGCCCTGGAGGATCCCTAATACGTTTCTCGGGATTTCCCTTATTTGAAGTTCAGGATTCGGGATTTGAAAGCAAAATCAGGGCGAGTTTCGGAATTGAAAATATGGGCGGGAGGTGGGATGCTAAAAAAACCCGTCATGATTACGGGATTGCACGAAATTTTGAGTCAAGATTACAGCATTGAAGAACTTTATTGGGGAACTTGCTTCGGAGAGTCTTGTCGCCCAGGTCGTTTCTTAGTCCTTAACAGTTTTTGTTCCTCATGACTAACCAGCTGTAAGGGTCTCATTACTAACAGCTTACCTGTGATACAACACTTTAAAGTTTTCAAGAAGCATTCCTTCCCAGAATTCTCCTTTGTACCCGCTGGGCAGGCAGCCGCTTCTTTATAGCAACCCTCATTTGTTCCCAAGCATGTTGCTCCTGAGAAGAAATTATTCTGTGATAAGTTCACCTCGACAGTATTCGCTTGGGTAACACCCGGCTAAAACATGCGAAAATAAGAAATTTAAAACCCACAAACTGGGCGAAGCTTAAGCGTTATTTGACCACTTATTAAAAGATATCTTGCCAAGACAGGTAGGCAAAAAGAACTACAATAATTTTAATTCCGATAGAGGAGTTGCCATTGAGTTTTTTCCATTCTCTTCGTCTTCTTTCATTGAATTCTTCACCGCTTAAGGAGCTGCGTACCAAAAAATATTTTTCTTGCCAGCTCGCAAACCGCTTCTCCCGGCCGCACCCTTAGGTAGATTTGAAGCTCTTCCCAAAGTTACACTCTCATTTGGAACAAAGATGCCTGCCAGTTGCATTAAGCGTCTTTCTTAACGATCTTACAGAGAAATGGAAGACTGCAAACAGTCCACTTTAATAGGAATTTAAGTTTTTCTTGGCCACCAATTAAAATACTTCATATGGAAAAAATCTTTTTAAGTGCGACATACTGCAGGCGAAAAAAACATATTCTATCGTCATGATAACGTTTTTAGCCTACTTTGCAGCTGTTTTGTCTCGTCAAAAACGGCTTTGTAGGAGACTATAACTTTTTGGAAAAAAATAATCTTGAATTTTTCTCTCTATTTTTGGCATCTGGAAGAGGTCTGCTCAGTTTGACTTTTGACAAATCATAGAAATTTATTATTGAACAATAATTTTGAGTTGGATACTGGTAGCTTTTTTCGAACTTTTGGATGAACAATTATTGTTGAGATTTAATTACTTACTGGGGAACTCGATCCACGTATAAGCCGGTAAAAAAAGTTATAATAAAACGTCAAATATTCGTCAAAGCAAGGCTTCACACCAATCTGAAACAAAGCAGAATATAAGTGAATATATGTAACTATCCAACTTTAGAAGCTAAATTTTTCAACTGTTCTTCATTGCAGGTGAGCGTCAGCGAGAAAACATAGTATCGTTTTATATATAGAGGAAAAATATCCAGAATCATTTTTAGCATGTACGATCGTAAGCATGCGCAGTTGTTTTGTTGTTATCTGAGATACGCGTTTTCTCGTCCCCAGAGCCACTCGGCTTAATTTGTAACCTGCATTAAACATGTTAATCTTTATCAGTTGGCTATTCCCCAAGGCAGACCATGGTTTGACTGTAATCACTTACGGAATCAAAGCCCCATGTAGCAGACACGCCATTGGATACTATGTCATCTCGCATAACTTCAAATCCGGTCATTGCTCCAACATCTTTGGCATAGACTTTAAAGTCGTCTACACTACAGGGAAATTTGAAAAGAATTGAAATTTACAAATTTACCGATTTATACCAAGATATCGTTATTATTAGCCTGGTTTTTACTTCGGCGGAGCGCGAAGTAAAGGATTCGCGACGCCCAGGAGTGTATCAAAGTTGACATTTTTGGGACAAGATCGGGCACGCAACGTCCGTAGGTTTTCGGTTTTATTCGCCTATTTGACAAAGTGAGAGCCGAATTAGTTCGAGATTTCTCGAGATAACTGACCCACTCGCCTGTGTGACCCGTCAGATCAGAGGAGACTCTAACTTGAAGGATTAACCGATTGCGTTACTACGACCCAAAGTAGCTCGGCATATGTAAAATAGCCATGAAATTATGCACTAGTTTCGAGACAAAATTGGGCGCGCAAGTTCGTTACTTTTCGGCTTGTTTCGGCTATTTCACAAAATGAGACTTGACTACTTCGTGATATCTTGAGATCGCTTCTAGTTTAGTCTTTAATTTACTCGAGGAATAAATAGAGGATATTACATGGCAACGCAGAGACACGAAATTTCTCTCTCTTCGAGTGTTGAAAAACATTTCACGAGTGAGCGCTCCTTTCGAAATGCTTTATGATGAATTTAAAGTTATAAAATGCTGTACAAAGACGTTTTGTCTTTGTTGAGTGTTACGTACCTCTGCACAACCACGACGCCGAAGTGTACGCTCCATAGCATCTTGTCATCTAAATAGCTATGAAATTATGCACTAGTTTCGGGAAAAGATTTGGCGCGCAAGTTCGTGACTTTTCGGCTTGTTTCGGCTATTTCACGAAATGAGACCGGACTACTTCGTGATATCTTGAGATCACTTCTAGTTTAGTCTTTAATTTACTCGAAGAATAAATAGAGGATATCACATGGCCGCGCAGAGACACGAAATTTCTCTTCGAGTGTTAAAAAACATTTCCCGAGTGAGCGCTCCTTTCGAACTGCTTAAGGTTAAAAAAAACTGCCAAAGACGTTTTGCCTTTGTCGAGTGTTACGTGCCTGTACACAACCACGACGCCGAAGTGTACGCTCCAGAGCTTCTTGTCGTGTCTGAAATGTCGACCGTCCGCTGTCCCCTCCGCCCCCGTCTCTATTCCCGCACCCCCCACAGGTTAGGGGGGTAGAGGCCGCAGACATTTCCGAATAAGTTTCCATCAAATCTTCTTGAAGGGGACCCGACTCGAAATGTTTTTCGCAATTCTATCTGCGATTGTTCAACTATACACGCGCCGGTCCGCTATCCTTGAGCCCGTTAACAGCCCTTGAAGTCTTTCCGAAAGTTTACTCATTCGAGTTTCCTTCTCGTGAACATATAATCATCGCGAGTTGTAGACTACAATAACGTGCGAGACTTACGCTCCTTGTTGAAAGTCATCTTTCCCAGGGTTATCCAAGAGTAATTTCGGGGTGATGCCCTTCAGCCCATATATTTTGATCCAAATATTGGCGTTACTGTCAGCTCCAACAATATCTGAAGTACCGGTTTTAATATCGTACTCTGAAGTTAGAAGAATGTAGTACCATATTAACTAATGCTATCGCAAACTGTTACTAATACAAAATAAAATATTAAAAAAAAAACAAAACAAAGTTGTTTTGCTAGTAGCCTTACCAAGTGCCCATATGCCCATAGTAATTCATTCAAAGCTCATATATAATTTCTTGGGGGGGGAGGGGTCGGTCGAAAGGGTGCTCCCTATAATGGCCTTTACGGGAAGTCTCTGCCCGAGAGGGGTACCTTTGTTAGGTCTGAGGCATACGAAAGGGAAAGGAAATCTGTCATTTCATTCCGGCTTTACTATGACCTACAAGGGCTACAGAAGGATTGTACGGATGTGAAAAAGTCGACAAAATTTTCTGGTTTTGTGATTTTTTCATATTTATTCAGTTAAAGAGATGCAAAGTTTTAAACTGGCTATGTAAGTAAAATGGGAAAAACTGTTTGAATCAGTCAGAGTTTGTTAGTTACCATCCTAATCCCTTGGTACAGCTGTTACCTTCCGTAAAAAATACGACCCATCTTCTCAACATACTTAAGGAAATCGACGTCCTCCCCACCAGTGCTTTACTTACCACCCTTGATGTTTCTTCTCTATAAACAAACGTTCAAACTAACGCAGGAATCGACGCCTGCCGAATAGCTCTTCCGAAGCTCTTAGCCAACGGACTGACCGATCTGTTCCTACAGAATCCATATGTGATCTCATCTGCATGATCTTAACCATGAACAATTTTGTCTTCAATAATGAACATTTTATACAACGGCATTGTACAGCTATGGGCACACAAATGGCTCCAGCGTTTGCTTTACTTGCTAATCTATTCATGGAGGATTTGAAAAGTAAGTACCTCAACAACATACACCCTAATATTAAATTCACTAGTGATCGCTCAACAACGTCTATCCCTTTCTTAGATGTAAACATTCAACTCCACAACGGTAAAATAGAAACTTATCTTTACTGCAAACCTACGGATAAACACCAATACTTAATGCACTCTTCAAGCCACCCATATCACATTAAAAAGTCTATTCCTTACTGCCTAGCTCTTCGCTTAGCCGCATTTGTTCCACGGATAATTTCTTTGAAACCAGATCATCTAAACTAGAAAATTACCTTATAAAACGAGGTAAAGACGCTTCATAAATGAACAAATCAACAGAGCAAAACAGCCACCTCGCAACCCTTCTACAGTTACCTATAACCCAGCTCTACCTAACATCCATTACGTACTCCGCAAGAAAAAACCCATTCTGCAATACACCGAACGCTTAAGAAACATATTTAAAGAAGTACCTGTCGTCGCTTTCCACCGTTCACCAAACATTCGTGACCTACTCGTTCGTACGAAACTCGCAAACAACGACAGCATAACCAAGCCCCCTGCCAGCACATTCTGTTGCAACTCCAGACATGGCCGCCTCACCTGCCCATACATTAACCATGGAAAAACATCATACTTCACCAACACAGGAGAAACAAGACAAATTGAACATAACATTACTTGTGACTCAACAAACCTAACATATATGATCCAATGTAAAAGATGTAGAAAAAAAACAATATATAGGTGAAACTAAACGCACACTTGGTGAACGCTTTAAAGAACTCAGACAGGCAACAAACAATCCACTCGACGCAAATGCCACAGCAGCAGTCCCTTCCCACTTTAGTCAACCTGGCCACTGAATCGCAGACATACATGCATGGAACTTATTCCGCTGGAATTACAACCCACCCTCAGCATGTCACGCCGTAAGGCAAGAGAAGCCTACCTCATAGATGGAGGTAAGACCCTGTCACCAGACTGTCTAAACGGAAGGAATGAACATTGAACTGTTTCTATTTCTATTTTTGTTGTATAATCATTTACCTGTAGTATTCTATCTAGAATTAATAATTGCAGTTAATTATTAACCAGTTATGAAAATTATAAATTCAAATTTTAGGAGCCGTTAGAAAATATTTTCTCTCTGTATAGTTCTGGCCCTGAGGAAGGCTAATTTTGTTGGCCGAAATATTGGCCTATAATAAATCAGACTTTTGCCGTAGTGCCAGCCTTGCATTCAGTTTTGTTTTGAGTAAAATGGGTACCATTTTTTAATGGAAAGTATGAAAAAGGGGTACTGGTTTTGTCAAAAATGGTATATAAAAGGGTAAGGGGTTGGACCTTGGGGTGGAACCTCGGTGAAGAAAACTTTGTTGGGTAACTCCCCCGGGGGGAGCGGGCAGGCTCGATTCTCGTTTCGGTTTGTAAAGTTGGTATATCTCTCGGGGTGTTAAGGATGGAAAGACAAAATATTACGTCGATAGGTATCGCATAAGATTGTGCTTGAAGAAGTAAATGTGAACAGTTTTTATCGTATCAAATTTCATCATAGCTCCTGTTTAACCGTCTGTATAAGAATGGTATCTTAGAGTGGTAAGAAAAGCTTGGTCCACGCCCACATTTATAGGGGCACCTACTCCCCTCTCAGATGAAAGTGTCCCTCGGGAAATTTCAATTATGTACCTACCAGTTAGTTTTGCATGAGTCAAGGAAATTGTAAGTACCAACAGGGCGAACATAGAGTACTTCATGGTTTAAAGACAAAACTGAAAAAAATTAAGACAAACAAATTTATTCTTTCGTCGTTAATAGTTTTCCTTGTAACTGAAAGTTTAAGGAACAAGTTATCATTAACTTCTTCTTGCATGTTCAACAGCTTTTTACTAATTGTGAACATCTTCCGCTGATGGGTGCTGTTTTTATTGATAAAATGATACTCATGCCGGGATTGGCTATAACTTTGGCATAGATTTATGGCGCTGAATCAAAATTTGTCAGAAATAAATCGTCCTTAACTTTTAATTTTGTGTTAATAAGTCACGTGTTATGTCACGTAACCATTTTGCTAAAAATCTTAAATTATTGATCAATTGGCGACCGGTTTAAGAAAAGAAATCTAGCAATAACATTTTTCTAATTCATATTAAATATTTCTAACACTTCACGTTCGAAATGACCGTCCATTGCACTTCAATAAAAAATTATGAGTGAAAACATTTTAAATGCCCAACTTTAATCTTGAATTATTTAAAACTTTAATTTTAAACTTCGCGTACATTCATTCCAAACGTAGAAAGTTTTGTATGTTCATCGTCTTTCAGAAATGCAAATTTGTTTATCCAAACAAAGTAAATTCGCCACCAATTCGCCAATTTCCTTTATTTTCAATTTTTGGTCACGTGACATGTCACGTGACCATATCTAAACGCTAAGGCACAAGGAAACCTCAATATTTACCTTTGGAGAAAAATTCATTTTGTTCTAGGTCTCCTAGCGCGAGATACTACCAATCATTCATATGCTCCGAACGCATCTTTGACCCAGGCGTTGAACCCCTTGAGTGGATGAAAATATTTATTCATTTTTATGTGGCGTAATTGACACACATTCCACACCTTATAGTTTGTTGTTGTTTTTTCATCTCGTTTTCTCCCAGCAGAAATTATTTATTTAATTTAACTCTTTATTTTAAATTCGAGTCAGGATAACAATGATTTTTTAAAGTTTTTGGCAATACTGAAAAAACTTCGCCGCATTATTTTTCGATCTTTAAAATGTAAAAGACTCGCGCTAACTAAAAATGCGAAATGTATCATTTGCAGGAAGATATAACGAAGAAGACTAGATCAGCATTTGCCTTCTTAAAATAACCCACCAAGGAAGAGATCTGGAGGTTCAAAGATTTCATAAATTGCGGTCTAAGTTAGACTTCGTTTAAATAACCGACCCATACTTTTCCCAAGGGCGACGGCCTAATTGAATTGAAGTTCGACTGGGTACTTACCGCTCCCTTTTAGATGCTTCGAAATCAATATTGGAAGCTTCGGTCCTCGCAGTGCAGAAATGCTCTTCACCATGAGTTTATAGGATTCAAAAGCATTTTATTCATAAGGTGACAAAAAAAAAGTCAACTATCATAATTTAATGTTGTACGTCCGATGAAAACGAAGTGCTTGATGTCCTATGCAAGTATGTTATCGTACATATAACATTTCCTTAAAAACTTTTGTCATAATCGATAATTATATAAAGGTAGATTGAACAGAAATTGAGCAAGGTTTTGTACCTAAAAAGCAGTTATAGACTGGAAATGCCATTATTCAAGTTTTAAGGCAGAGTTTTCTTTGTCATCTCTTAACGGTACGTAAGCGATGCATCAAAGCAAAAGAAGTCGTGGTAAATTATTTCTTGCAACGATAGCGTAACATTCTTCCGTAGATTTTTTAAATCAGTTTTGCACCTGTTGATTGTCTCAAACTTTTTTATTGCTGGATTCTTTGTGTTTTTTTTCCTTTTCCCCAATATTTTTAGTACAGTTTTATGCTTGGAGATGTATACACCGTGATAATGTAATATATATTGAGATCACGTTGCTTTGGTGACCATGATAGCCAGAATATGAATATGTAGCCATGCACAATATGTCCCGGATGAGAGAGCTGAAGTACGGGTCGGGTCGGGTCGGGTCGGGTCTTTAGTTTACTGAGGAGGAGCCTTGTAACACTACCTGTTTCAGTCCACATATATTCTTAGTTTATTTACAAATCTCATCACTGAAGAGCCGCATATAAGAACCCTACTAGAATTTAAGGCTATAGGAGAGACTACTGTTTACACTTTGTTATTCAAATTTGTAACGAATGAAAAAAAAAAAAAAAAAAAAAAAATAAAAAAATGAAATCTATTTAAAATTTTTTTATCAAATTAAAAAAAAAAAAAAAATATAGAAAAAAATACAAAAGACAAACAAGATAGAAAAAAAGCTAAAGGTGTAATAGAGAGTATAGGCAGCGCGTTAAAAAAAAAAAAAAAAAAAAAAAAAGAATGCAAAAGTGAAATCTATTCGCAATTGTTTTCTCCCATTCGACAGCATTACCATATTTCGGAAAGATTTCAGAAGGCAACCAAGATAAACTATATGCTAAAGTTGTCTTACAAGTTATTGTCAAGTCATATCGACAATAACGATGAAAACATGCCCCGTAAAGGAAGCCATAACCGCTATAACTTTACCATCGATTTTTTCTTTCAGCTTTTTCCTCTTCAGCACTAACTGAAACATGCGTCCATTAAACGCCTCCGTTGTGTTGTTTATATTTGTGGCTGTAACTCAGGCTATCGGTGAGAAGTAATATAACAAACACGAGAAGAAGGGTCTCCATCACATATCAAACAACGAGAAGGACGATGAAACTACAACGTGTAGCAGAGTAGAAAGAAATTTGACGGTTTTTGTTGTCTAATAAAAATGATTCGAATGTTTCGAAAAAAAATTGAACTCACCGCCGCCCTCAAACGAGTCTTACATCACATATCTAAACATAGCATGATTCATTACTTCCTTTGCCCTTTTTCCCCGCTTAAAATTGTTCACCAGATTTGTAAAGACTGCAAAAGAATCACCACCCAGTTAGAACAGAACGTGTGTTCCTTTATGCTTTAAAGACTGAATGACCTGACTAAAACAGGAATTCAGTTTCACCATAATCCCTTGAAAACAATGTAATTCTTTCTCATGCCTCGTTGGGGTGGTGAGAATACCTGTTATTACATGTAGGGACAATTCTCCACTCCAGGGTTGTTTGGTTCTCCTGTAGTCCATGCAGAAAATGTGGCTGATACCGATGCTCCATCGATCCATTTAAAATCATTGTTTCCAGTGGTTTCCATTCCAGGCCATGGTTCTCCACTTTTCTCCATCGAGTTTGCCACATTGGTTTTCTTTTCTGATTTGAGAAAGGGTAGGTCGGCACCTGACATTCTTCTCGAGCCTTCCTTTTTGTCATGCGATCTGTTGTTGTTATGACATAGTAACAGAAGGCTACTCGTTCAGTGCAGTCCTGTTCACAATCTACAGGAGAAAATGATATTGAAGAGGGCTTAGCCTTATTCGTTTTATGACTAGTTCATTATTCTAAAAACATGGCCAAAAATTACGGACAACGATCCCGCGACGCGCAAGCGGTGTTCGCGTTAGAAGGAAACATATCTAGTGTTCACAAACTAGGGGGGAAAATGATATTGAAATGGGGTCAGTCTTATTTGAGGTTGGAGAAATAGTTTTAGTATTTCTTGAGTAGTTCTTGGTGTTGAATAAAATTTGAGACTGGCGGTAAACACAATGAGGCATTGATTTCTTTAAATGAATCTATCATTACTTCAAACATCCTAAACTATCATGACAGGATATCATTTCAGAATATAAGTAACATAAAACGCAACCAAGCATTCCGCTATATGTCTTAGTGTTACTAATAATTTTGACTTAGGCTAGTATAAGATAATAGCTTAGCACCATGTGAGTTTGTGGTAAACATCGTTCTTACCACATCTACTATGATACTTAATCATCTGAATAGCTAACGTTTAAGTTATACGATATAAACTTGAGTAACAGAAGCTCTAGTTGTCGAGGAAAAAACTAAACGTAAAACTTAATACTTACTCTTCGGAAATAGGTTGTTCCGGAGCTCGCCAAATGTAGCAGCGTTGGAAAGACGTGCAGAAAATTGATTGCGATGGGTCATTTCTGTGACCAATTTTAGCTGTTTTTCTTGTTTGAACTGAGAAAAACCACCGATTGTAATCAGCGTGTATTGCTTGAGGATTACGTAACGATTTGAACCGTCTTTTGTGTGTAGAGATTTCGATAGAAAATTGAGCGACATGATTTTTATGGCCTATGCATAGTTAATTAAATGCAACGGCGATCAAGCTTATCAGGCTTCTTTGGTAAATGTGTTTGTTAGCTTTTTTGGACCTGACCTTGCACAACGTTTAACAGCATTCCTTTGATTTTGAATTTACTGACCAATCGGAAACGCTTCATTAATTTATTCTGACACTATTTAATTTGTTAACAAAACACCAAGGGAAGAAAAGGAGTGGTCAACATAAATTTCAGTGCAGTTGTTTTCGTCTTTGATGTTTGTTGGTTTTCGTAACCAATCTCCTCTATCTTTTTATTATTTGATGGGGTTTGGAGCGCGTAAGTTTCTATACAATGCATAGCCAAATAAACCGCTGAATAAAAATAATGCCTATTGTGCAAAAGATGAAAAGATTACGTCATAATTATTCTCCATCATTTATGCGCTACTTTAATCAGTGCAGCATATAATTAGGCTGATTATTCAATCGCTTTTGTTCTTAGCACTAACCGCGCATGCTCAGCTAGTTGTCAACTTCTTGACCAGTCCACTCTCAGTCATTTGCGTACAAGCGGAGAAATGCAAACGTTTGCTGACTTGTCATGAAAGATAATTTTCACCATGGTTAATGTGTATCACGGGTTTCGTTAATCGTTTGTCTCACGATTCTGACTTAGATATTGAACGCGACGTTTCGACCGCGTACTGCAGGTCTTCATCAGGCGATAGAGTCGATTTACTGAGTAGGACTATTTATTCCCCTGTAATTGTTAGTTCGTGAATGGTTGGTGGGTTTCGTACCATCAAAGTATTGTTGGTATTATCAGAGGAGGAAAATGTGCCCTCAGCGGTCCGCAGTGGCACAGTCCCCTTACTGACTTATACTTACTGTAAGTTCCCGTATGTTCGTTGCTTTAGAAAGCCAACCGCCCTTTTGTTGTGTCTCGGGTGCAGTCCCTGCCGCTTCTTGCATTGAGCTTTTTTTTCGTGATCCTATCGACGCCACTTAAGGTACCCCTACTTTCTATCTATCTATAGGGCCGGTAAAAGGATTTGTTACAGGGTTTTCAGGCTTAATTTTATTGCTGTCTCATTATAGCCATTTTATAACTGACGGTCGGTATTTTTTAATGCTGGTTTATTGATGACTTTCAAGAAAATCACATATTCATGATCATCCTTAGAATAACCCTTAAGCTTGCTTGAAACCCCATGGAAATTAAACTGAATCGCTTTCCAGTTTCTTTGTCTTATCCCTTACGGATTAAAATTCATTAGCTGATGTTACTCAGTCTCCTTCGTTTCACTGGCAGCTGTTTCTGAAAAGAAAAAAAAACAAACAAACAAAAACAGAATATGGATTAAAGTTTGGTCCTTCCCCAACTGTTCCTGCGCATGCGTGCACAGGATATCAAACTTTTTTGCGCGTATAAGATTACCTGCTTTGAAAGCAGAGGCAATATATCCCATAATGACAATAATATAATAATAATAATAATAATAATAATAATAATAATAATACTAATAATAGCCCTGGAATTTAGTTTAGTGGCAAAATGCAACGCGCGTTTTATTAAAAAAATCAACTAGTCAGAAAGTTACATGCGATCCTGTCAATGTAAGAATTTCAGTCTCAAACTAGCGTCAGGTCTGACGTGTAGGGGGGGGGGGGGGGTTTGGGGGCCCGGGGCCCCCTGGATCC